GAAGCATCCTATCTGTAGATTTGATTATTCACTCAGTTACATGCGAAATATTTCGTTGGATTACTCCTATTTCTTTTCACAATTAGCTCCATTAACAAAGAATAGTTCAATAACAAATTTGGTTTAGTATTCTAAGTAGGAATTAAGATTTAGCCGGAATCCTGAAACTAACTGTTACCTTTTGCTGTTGCAACAATATGAGTTTACCTTTTAATCCTATCTAATTGTGTCAGTACAGCATTCACCACACGGATAGCATCTGAAGGCTCTGTGCCTGCCTTGAAGGCACTGCGGGCTGCTGTGAGGCTTTCCACCTACAGAAAAAAAAAAATAATCAGGCCAACCAACCAAACAACACCAAAAACCCAACAAGAAATATCACCAAACACACACAAAAAAACCTTAACATAAAAGATGGCACAGAATTGCTGGATGCAAGCAAATAATCCAGAAAATAAATTCTTCAGATCCTTGAGTATCTAAACTTCATCTTCAAAATCTTTTGTTAAGTTGGAATTCACTGGGAGACAGAAAGGAATATCAAGGAAGCAAAGTGTAGTGAGTGAAATTCCTGTTTAGACAACAGAACAAAGGCTATTCTTAATTTAATTACATTTCAGGGCACAGGACACACAAAACAGAATAATGAATACACTGAATTTAGGATGATTTTCCCATAGGAACTCCAATATAACAAAGCTAATAAGGTAAATACTAATTTACTTATGTATTTCAGTCTGAAGAGTATCTAGACAATGAACTGAACCATATAACGCTTTTTATATTTTTTTTTACAGTGCTTTAAAACAGGCATAGACCACAATTAATACAAATCTAGGCTACTTTGAAGTTTAAAACAATCATAGAAATATGGAATTTTTTAGGTTGGAAAAGATCTTTAAGATCATTGAGTCCAGCTGTTAATACTCCACTTGTAAACAGACAGCATCCAGAAAGTTCCACCAAGAAAGGTTTTGCTTCACTTTCAACTGGAGTTTGCCTGCTAAATCCTACTGTGTTCCTCCCATACTTCTCCAAGCTGCTGTAGGCAAGATAAAAATTCACTCTTCTGCACAAAGTTATGTAATTTACAAAAAAGCATGAATATGGTTTTATTGTTCCTTATGAATGAGCACCATCACAGTTCCCTCCCACCATTTACTTTCTGATAAATTTTATGTACATCAATGCTATTAGAATCATACCTCATCAATCAGTACAAACACAAGAGCATCTTTGTCATCAATTAACTCCTGAATCTTCTGGAACATCTTGGTTACAAGCTTGCCACTCTAGAAAGACACCATATGTGCATCTTTAACTATTTCCTTATCACACAACTTTCCAGGCTTTACCATATTCAAATATGGAAGTACTTGTTTCTTAAAATAAATTTCTAATATGGCTTCTCTTTAAATATTCTCAAACGCATTACTTATTCTGAGTAATCTTTTCTGCACACAGTTATTTTATGAAACAAGCTCAACAGTGTAATTTCTAAAACACAGAGTCTATTTAGCTACATCAATACATACCTCAGAAAACCATTTAGAGAAAAGGCTATGGCTGTTTATCTCAATTAACTGTCCATACCTATACCTAAAGCATGAAGGGAAAAAGAAGTATCAACTCTATCGTAATTAAAACTCTGTGATATCATCAACTTCCACAAGACTCATTCCCTCCATTTCGATCCTGGAATTCCATACATCACTACTTTAAATTACTTTTCAAAACATAACCTGTTTTGAGCTTAATTGTCATTTCCAGAAACGTGACTCACTAAAATTCTTTATATTAAATTTCTATCAGTCTCTTCATTAGAAAAAGTACTATTTAAGTACAGTTTAAGTAACAATTACCATTTAATGGCCTCATTCTTCTGTTTGTGTAAGGTTTTGTTCACTATAACCCATATAAAAGCATGAAGCTTATTTACTTATTTCTGCATGGGTATCCTTAGGACAAAATATCTCAACCACACATTATATAGCCCACGTTTATCATAAATCAGCTTGGGCTAGAGTCAGATCACTCCATTAATTACACATTATTTATGTTACACCCAGTGTATTACATAAGATTTTTTTTTTTAATATAAATTTGTTAAGTTGCTATGAAGCTTAAAGCTACCTCTTATTATTTGTCTGATACACAAACTGACCTCTGCAGACTGTGGCATTCAGAAAATTCAAGTACAACCCAAAACAGTTACAAACCCACTATCTACTAAAACCAGGCTTTCTTGAACATGAAGGTACAAAGAACAGACTGAATGCTCTGCAATCTTTTGTCCTTCAACATTCATTGATGTACAACCTGAGCACAAACAGATGACTGGAATTTGTTTTAAATACTTGGGCACAAATAATTCCTCATTTTAAGAGGAACTAAATATTCTAACCAGTCTATCAGATCTCTTTTATTGCTAGCCAAGTGCACTATAAAAGAACCATGAACATTAGCACTTGGCACCGATTACTTGAAATAAAATATTAAGCATTTCTGGGTTACTGCAAAAGAACAATAACAATAGTAAAAGTGAAAGTTTTCGAAAAAATTCTCACCTGTATGACAGTCGGATGGTCAGCTTCTGAGCCAATGCTTTACAGAGAGAGGTTTTACCAGTTCCAGGAGGGCCTGGTTTGAAATCAAACCCATCCATTACACAGAATCTGCTTTAGATTGTTAGTGACATGTAACACCTTGTAAGATAGTATATTTCATTATAGCACTAATTGTAGAATAAAACCACAGCAATGATTGTGATCACAAAGGTATTTTAAGAAGGTTGCTTACTCCACTACAATCCTATAGCTGAGCTTTGAATTAATATAATTTTCAATTATTAGAATAGTTATAGTTTGTATGCAGACACCATACAGGTGAAATACTCGACACCACAGAAGAAAAGTGCATCACCCTATCAGGGTTTATGCTTATTAGCAGTCTCAAAATCAGTGCTATGTTTAAACTCATATCTTCCCAAAACATAGTCTCCTAACATGCAAAACAGAAACATATCATTCCCAGTTTGATCAGCTGTCCATTTGCTCAGAAATCTCTATCTTGGGGCAATCCAGAGCATCTTAGGAAGTATGCTCTGGGACAAGCACTTTGGATCTGGCTTGACACCCTGTGGAAGAGCCACACAGGCTTCTTCCAAGCAGACAAGTACAAGCAGAGTTAAACACAGTGTGAATGGTGTCTGGGTGCTAAACAAACCGTGATCAACCAAAGGCAGTACTTTCAATCAAAGCCAGTACTGCCATTAAGCCATAAATCTATTTTGCACTAAAACAGTTGTAGATTTCCCAGTATTAACTTGTGGCCACAATAATAAGCTCATTACTAAAACTATCTATCATAGATATATTGTTAACAGTGTGAAATAAATACTTTTCCAAACAAAAACTTCCTGTAGCTTCTAAACTGAACAACAGCTATAACTTAAATATAATCAACACTCTTAAACATTTCCACTATGACCTTTTATTTTTCAATAGCAGTCTTGATGACAAAACTGCAATTACATCAATAACAAGCTGCACTTTGCAAGAAAATCTACCCACATTCAACTAGGGCTGACTGAAAATTATGGCTTCACTGAAAGAATGATAATTAATTAACAAGCATACTGCCTTTGTACTTGGCAACAGAGCACACATTGTTAATCACACAACACAGACTGATTTCCCAGTTTCCTCAAAAGATTTTATAAAGCCATAACTAACAAATATTTTAATGCAACAAAACTGTTATTAATATATGGCTCCTAACAGCCTCAGTATCTGCATTATTTTGCTATTTATAATGAAAAAAAAGCAATATTATCACTCTAAAATGAAATTTAAAAATACCCAACTATTGTCACTGCATCATAAATTTTGGAAATTAAATTCCTGCAAAACATAGTACATGTGAACTTTGATTTGATTCTGACAAGCCGTTTCATCTAAATTTGTATTACAGAGAGAATACTTCTCTGCTGCTTTTGGATCATCCAAGTTCACAAACACAGAAATGCAATACAAGTTTTTTCAGATGGAAAGGATAAAGAGATAGCAAATGCATCTGCTTGGTTTAAGAGAGATAATTTTTACCATGCAGCAGAACAACTCTGTTCCATGATATCAGGTTGCTGTCAACATTTTTGTCAGAAAAGAGTAATGTTGTCGTCACATAATCAAGCAACTAATTGAAGAGGAGAAAGAGAGACACACAAATTAGAGATATTTCTACAAATACAATTACAAATAGAAGCCATCTCCTAATTATGTCCATCTTGTACTCTTAAAAAATAAAAATTTGGGCTCATGTCTTTTAGTCATAGGCAAATTTTCTTTCTGTAAAGGCTGGAAATTAATTTCCTTCCCAGGCAAAAGAATAGCATATATTTGGCACAAATGGAGTTCCAGAACTTTTACGTGAATAAATGAAGTGCTTTAAGGAAGTAAAATTATTCTCATTTTCCATTGTCCCACTTATAGTACATCTTTATAACACAAGCTGCCCAAGCACAGTGTCAAAGCCTCAAACTCCAGCTCCTGTTTAGATGTTGTACAGCTATACATTTGTTCAGTCTGTGGCAGCCAACCCACTAAACAAGTGACATTTCCTGTCACATTTCAGGTCGTTTCTGCTGAACAGCTCCTGTAAGGAATTTGTAAATTGGTTATCCTTCCACACAGGGGAAGTTGCAGGTACTTCCATGAATGCTTGCTTCTGGAAAGAATGGTAATTCATTTTAAGAGTTACCTAGAATTAGGAAGTAGAGAACTATTTCAATCAAATTAATACGAACCTGAGGTATGAATCTTTACTGATTTTCAGCTATAACAGCTGATACCATACTATTTTCTGTTGCTCTTACCTGTAATGTGCTTTTGGTCCATTGCATTAACAGGGCAATACAGTAGTATTCCTGCTAAAAAATCTTATGCCCAAGACGGAGCAATTATGCAATAGAAAAGAACCTGAACTTCATCTAGCATGTTTTTCAATATTATGTCCACACTATTCTATTTTGAAAATTCACACCAATCATCTCAGTGTCTGTAGCAGGCAACTGTACCCAGCAGTTTCATGGATTAAAAAATGAATATTCATTATGCTTTTACAGAAGTCAGGTAGTTCTAGTTTTAGTCATTAAAAGCTGCCCTTTCTTTCTACCAACACACACTTATAGCCAACAGTGATCAACCTGCTATTACTTATTACATTAGTAAGTCTATTAAATAGTCTTGTTATTTCATAGATGATTTGGAAATCATTTCCATAAATCAGTCAAAACATTGATGTGTTACCTGATGTTCACCTTATAAATGAATAAATATAACCATTTGAATGTTTTGCTCTACTACAGATGACTATAGAGACTTAAGTGAGAATACTGTATCTATGGTACTACAAACAAGCTGACAAATAATTTTTTTTTTGTCCAAAAATTTCAGGTAGAAACATTTCTTTTAACAAGCACAGTAAATATCTTAATGAGTGCTGTCACAAGAGCAACTGAATTGAATCATTTGTGGTTTTTACTCACATTACAAATACCATATTACAGATTATAGTATTATAGTTTTACAAGCTCTGTCAGTTATCACCACAACCTTTGATGAATGCACAGAATCTTCAAACTAGAAAATGAAACTTTTGTTTCATGGAACAAAACAGCCCCATCACACAAGTTGAAAACTTCTAGTGATTTAGTTTCCTCAGTTAGTTTACTGCAAAGTTACAACAGTGCCAGGAGAAGGGAGGCACTGCAAGTATAGCTGATTGCAACATACTTCCCCTTTAGCAATAGCAAGCTGCCAAAATTGCCTTATGATAAAAAAAAAAATCCACTCCAAAGACACAATAGATCTTTTGGGACCTCCACAATGGAAAAATGGAGAACTGATTTCAAGGAATGCTGCATACATTTTTTCTAAGACCCTTTGAAGCAGTATTTTTTCCCCATTCATTTCCTTCTCTCCTTCTAGAAAAAGAAGAAATTAATGAGCCTTAAAGCAAGGTCCAAATTTTAATACAGTGAATTTCTACTCTGTTGTACAGAACATTGTTTTCTTCACACAGGCTAATGAATATGTCTAAAGCAAAAGTGAAAGTCTTCTGAGAGCTTTTAATTGCTACCAAAATATTACTTCCAGCTGTTAAACCTGATTTTTATAAAATAAGTCAATGGATTTGAAGAAATTATAATTTGTGGCATGAGCATCACTGAATCCAGTTTCACAAGGGTACTGAGACATTTTGCAAAGCTGACTCCACAGGGAAACATATTAATATCAATATGATGATTAATCTCAAAATGTCATATCTTCCTTCTTTTGTTAAATATACATCAAAGAAGTAACAGAAACTATATATTTTAATAAGAATATAAAGCTTTACAAAATGGCTAAGGCTATACTACCTTACAAAACATAGAAATGTAATAAGCAGACAGCAGAATTCCTTCTCGAGATGGTAATTTCCAAATAACTTCTCCATGGGATGCAGCAAACTTCAAACTGGCTACATTTCAACTTTTATTTCTCCTCAAGCAATTTTTATTGTTATTAATTTTCGACTTACGTGTGATTTTACTTCAATGTCATATATCAGACTTTCCCAAAGGCCATGGAATTCAGCTGCAAAAGCAATATATTAATACCTGTTTAGGATAAATCAATCTGGGAACTTGTAATGTACCATTGCAGCACAAGGTAGATTTCAAATTATTCTCAACTAAAATTAGGGATTAAAAAGAGATTTAGGAGAGCAATTAAAATACATATTAAAAAAAAAAAAAAGGTTTTTTTTCTCAAAACACTGCTTTCTAACAGACAAATCCAGCAGTTTCACAACTTCTGTTTCCTCAAATAATTGTGAGGAGAAATTAATCTTCTTAATTTCTTAACATGAAAAGGAAAAATACCAATCTTTCCACTCTCAGTAGGGAACGGGCCTGTATTTCCCTAAGATAAAGAGCTAAGTTGGGGGGGGAGGATGGTTCTAAGCCTAATTTTATCATTCACTTTTTTTTTGTTTTGGGCTTTTTTTGTTTGTTTGTTTGTTTGGGTTTTTTTAGTATCAACATGTAGAGGACAAAAAATCCACATAGCTGAATAATGCATAAAAAACTAAAGTTGTGATTTGGGTATCAATCATTTTTAGCAGTTAGTTTCTAGGTTTCAGCAAAGAAAAGCAAAAGAGACATTCTAAATCATTATAAATCTCAATAAAATGGCAATAATGTCAAAGTATCAGATTGAATTATTCCCAAAGAGAAATGTAATGGATAATTAAGCTTTTCCCAAAGAGAAATGTCATGGATAGTTAGGCTTTTCAGGACATGGAAAGAGCAAGAAATGTCTCAGAATCACCAAGTCTTTAAGCCTAAGCTCACATCTGTCCTTCTTCCAGGTGCAAAACCCAGTTTCCACAAGCACATGATAGTAACAGGCAGGCCATACTCTACTGCAGAGCAAAGCCTTATTCTTCTTTCCAGAAGACACTCCAAGGACCCCAACTCTCTTTAATTTGTTTGTTTGTTTCAAACATAAGAGCAGCACTGTTTTGGGAGTGAAAGCCAGCAGTGGGCTCTGGAAAACGAGTGTTTACTCTCACAAGTTTCTTGTGGGTTTCCAAATAAAAATCTCAAACAAAGCTTCCATGGTTCTGATTATGACTATACATTTTACCCCACAAGATCAGTTACTTCCATCCATCCACAAGTACTACAGAAATAAATGACATGTTGTGGAATCACGCATGGTAGTTCCATCAAAACCATAAAGAAGAACGTCCAAATATATTGGTTCCATTGACAAAGGACAAAGTTAAGAAATATACAAAATAATACCTTTATCAGGTAACCCTATGAACACTTTTAGCATTTTCAAGATTTTCTTTCATTTTAATTGCTCTAGACCTTCCAGAAATATCACACGTGTACCTGCTGGTAGCACCCAATGGTTAGCTGCAATATCCTCATTCTCTTCTTCCAGGTTTTCAGAGCTTGGTCCTTCTTCACTCAGATGAAAAATATGAAGAGAGAGATTGCTTTTGCTCAAGTCAATAGGCTAGAATAGACATAAAAAGACTTTTAATACAACTTATATCTCATTCAGAGTTAATTATAACATAAGAAAGTTACAGTTCTCAGCTGGCATTCAGCTTTGAAGCCTACTAATTTTGTTTCAGACGCCACTGCGGGGTGTAGACCCAAAAACTTATCCACCTGTTTATACCAGTTGGCCTAATAAAAGACACTACATCCTATAGACCTTGTTCTGCTTACTTCCTTAGGCTATCACTACTTGATCTACAGTCAGTTCACACGTACATGAACAGAGCTGTAGACTGTTTACTGTGAGTACCTGTCTGTCTTTCAGCTTCAGCTCTGTATCCACAATTGACACGGACTCCACGTTGCTGTTAAGGAAACCATCATCAAACTCTGTCCACTTGTAATCACCAAACACAATGTTATGTCTGTTCAACAGCTTTAAGACACTCATCCTGATCTCTTCTTTCTTGGCCGCACTAACAAGAAAGAAACAGCATTACCTATGGCACTGAGATTTACAAGGAAGTATCAACTAATACCAGACTGCTTATTTCATACACCAAGCCTACATGGAAACAGCCTCCATCTCACACACACACCCCCAAAAAAATCAAACCAAACAACCACTCCCCCAAAATTAACAAACCACCTTCAAAAAAACCAACCACAAAAACAAACAAACAAAAACCCAAACCCCACTCAACCCCACCCCCAACACTGTGCAGAAGAAAACAATCAAATTCAGTTTGTTTGCAAAAGCAACAAGTTTGATACTTGTTTTTAACTTGTGCACTGAAAGACATGAGCCAAAGAATAGTATTTGTTCTGTTTGAAGTCATATCAGGGGACATAGAATGATGCAGCTAGAACATTTCAAAAATGGAAATCAGTTATGCAATCTGTGTTTCACTGGGAAACCCAGAAACACTCATAGCCAAGCTACTAGACAAAACCTGGTACACTCAACTTGGAAGCTTCTTTTGTGCTTTCATGTCTGAGGACAGCTGATAACTCAGGATGGGGATACACTACAAGGAAAATTCTAGTAGAAGACAAAAACTATAGAAGAAAAGAATATCATTTCAAGATTTCAGAAAGGCTTTAACTTAATTTTGCCATTTCAGTGATGCATTGTCATCCTAACTCTGGCCAAAAACAGAACAGTGGATATTCTACACCTTGACTTTATCAACACTTGGACATTCTCCCACAGTATCTAGACAGCCAAATTGGTAAGAGAAGGACTGAATAAATTGAGAAGGTATCTGGACTGTCCAGCTCTAAGGGCTGTGATTAGTAGCACAAAAAGACTAAGCAGAGCTGCCAGTAAGTCAGGTGGCAAAAGGTGAGGTGGTGCTGTCAACACTGGGGCCAAGTGTGTTACATCTTCATTTACACCTTGGAAAGCAGCTGCAGCAAGTTTATGGGTAACACCAAAGCAGGGAGAGCTGTCAGTATACCAGATAGCAGGGCTGCCATTCAGAGCGACTTCTGCAGGTTGTATATGCGCTTCGATGGGAACCTGTTCAGCCTCTTCTGCTGAGCTTCAGTGAAAATAAATGTGAATTTGTCTCTCCATCTACTGCTCAGACAACAGTGCAGACCAGAGGCCAACTACACAAAAAGCAGCTCTGCAGAAAAGGACTAGGGGTACTGGTGGACAAGTTGGCAATGTGTCAGCAGTGTGCCCTTGCTACAAATAAGGCATACCTTATTTTACAATGTGCTAGCAAGTGTGCAAATGCCAGTGATTTTTTCTATTGTCTGTTTGTGAGACCACATTTGGGGCACTGCATGCAGTTTTGGCCTCTTGCTGTACAAGAGACAATGATATGCTAGAACATATCCAGAACAAGACCACAACTTGATTATGAGACTAGACCACATGGCACACACAGAGAATCTGAGAGAAACAGGCTTGATCAACCTTAGGATAAGACACCTGTGTGGAAACTCATGGGAGAGTGTAAGAAGGTAGAGTGCTTTTGTAGGAGCACAGCCAAAGAAAAGGAATCAAACAAAAGGCGACAGATGCAAGCTGCAGCAAGTAAAGCTCTGATCAGAGACCTGCTCGATTTCTGATGAACTTCCACATGTATTTGAACGTTGTCACACACGTTTAGGAGGGCTTGCTTCAAATCCCCAGCAGCTTCGTCCATCCTCCTTGCTCCTAGGGGGAAAGCCATGTGAAGGAGAAGCAGGCTTTCGGCGACTGGGCGGCACAACCAGTCCTGCCCGGCCCGGCCGCGCACCCCGCTCCCCCCCGCGCCCTGCGGGGACCGC